GACCTTTTATCTGCTCATTGTAATTGGGATAATGAGGGAATAACACACACCTGGCCATGGAACAGCTGAGAAGCCAATTGTCCCATTACTTTTGTTCCCTTAACAAGTGGGAGGCACATATGCAAACTGTTGTAATTCCTACACCGTTCACCTGATTTGGATGTAAGTACCCTCAAATTAAAGCTGACAGTCTGCAGTTAAAGCACATCTTGTTCGTTTCATTTTAAATCCATTGTGGTGGTGTATAGAGCCAAAAATGTTAGAATTGTATCAATGTCCCAATATTTATGGACCTGACTGTAATTAACTGTTTTAGACATTTTGATAGAAATCGAGAGAGCAGAAGCAGAGAGCAGTATGTGTTGAGATGACCTGTCTTTTCTGGTTGTATTCACTATGGATCCCACCATGAGCATAATGCAGCACGTTCTACCATTTTTTCCTTCACGCAAAACCTGGAACTGACTGCGCTGGTGTACTAGGTCCATTTGAATACATGGAAAACACTTTGCATGCATTTTTCATGAAGAAGAAAGGCTCTGGACAGCATCCGGATATGGACCTGTCAAAAAATGTGTCTAAACGCAAACGCTTGTAAACACCGGTAAAATCTGCTCCTGAACGCAATTTTGGTGCGTGAAAAAAAAGGACGGTAAACTCACCTGCCTGTAAGAAGATGTGCATGGACACACAGGAAAACATGAAAGAGAGTTCAGGGGCTGCTGAAAAAAAATGCTCAATAGCTCCTGAACGTCAGTTTAGCAGCTGCAGTGACATGAGCCCTTATCCTGTGAGTCCAGGGCCGCTTAAAGCGGAGTTCCACTCACTCTGTAACAAAATAAAAGTCAGCAGCTACAAAAACTGTAGCTGCTGACTTTTAAAAAAACAGCCACACACCTGTCCCCCACAATCCCGCAGTGCCCCCACTGCAGCCCAATTCACTGGCCGACCTGTATTCCAGGCGCCGGCATCTTCAGTGTGGGCACCCGGCTGTGAAAGCTTGTGGCTTCACAGCCGGGTGCCCACTGCGCATGCACAAGTAGCCCTGCGCTTCCTGAATGGCCCCGTCATCTTCTGGGACCTGTCACGTGTCCCACAAGACTACGGGGAGGGAGGGTAGGAGAACAACTTTCACTACCTATTGCCTAGGCGATTGCAGCGGAAGTGGGAGTGGGTACCTGTCAATTTTGAGTACCCGCTCCCCAAAGGTGCCAATCCTTAATGGGGAGAGGGACACCAATCTTTAAAGCGGAACTTCTGCTTTTGGGTGGAACTCTGCTTTAATGGTGCTCCCACAGTGGATGCATCTTTGATGCCCACCACGGTTCACAAGAGGAGGACCAATGCTGGACCCTGGAGGAGGACGTGTGGGGAACTGCTGGAGAATGGAGGGTACTACTTGCTAAAATGTTCTTCCTATACAGTCTGGACCTGGGATTTATTTGGTTGTAGCTTGTAGCAAACTTTTAGCAAGCTCTTAGATATTATCGTGCTTTGCAAATGATTAATAGACACTTAACAAATGCCTGCTGAGACTTGATAAATGCCTGCTGAATGTGATGTCCTTCAGACCAGGATTTACAAGTCAAGATTAAAAAATGCTTGTGTATACTTTGCCTTTGCCTGGGTCAGTGACTGGGTCACCAGGACATGGAAAGCACCCACCAGTTTCTACAATGTACCCCGGATGGCTGAAATGTTTCAGAATCTAGCTCTCCAGCAAGGGGAAGTGATGCCGTAGAAACACGTAAGTGCTGTCTTTGCCCTCCTGACGCCGGCAGAAAATAGTTTGTGATCAGACAGGACAAGTGTCACCAGAAAAGGTTTTCCCATTGAAAGACTCCTCTCTGTTTCTATTGCAGTAACAACTATGAAACCTTGAACAGTCCATCAATTTCAGTCCTTGCGACAGTGACCACCAACGCACACAGAAAAAGTGAATCTCCTCCCTGGGGACACAGACCATAATAAAAACCTGATAGGGTTTCCAACTCTTCTCTAATGCCGGCCATACATGGGTCAAAATTTAACCAATTTTTCGTCCGAAGAATAATCGGCCGATTTTGGCTCTTTTAGTGGGTCAATGGCACCAAACAATTTTCATGGTTCCTCTCCTTTCGGTGATCGGCATGTTGGAAAATTTGTGAAAAACTACCGATTTTCGACTCAATGATGGTCAAATTGTATGATCGTTTTTCTGAAAAGAATATGCACATGAGCCATGATCTGGAAGGAACAGACGTTTTGCCTGTTATATGGGGGTGAACTTTGACTTGGTCGGCAGATTTAGGAAATAATTGATGGCACCATCGGATTACCGAGCAAACGACGTTTTCGATTTTCGGATGAAAAATCATTCGGAATTCGACCCATGTATGGCCTGCATAAGACTGGCCATACACTATGCAATTTTCTGTCCAATTTCTGCCCAAATTTGTTGTCAGAATACAATAGTGGAGCAGGGAGGATTTCTGCTTCTGCTTTGCTTGTATGGATACAGGAATCTGTTCAGTGCCATTTCCTTTAGATTTACCTTCACCTATGTATTGCAAGAGCCTGCCTAATTGGATACAAGTGAAAGTGTTGTTAGGTTTGACCTCTTATTAAATGGTTTTTGGTAAATCTAAAGAAAATTGTATAATGTATGGCCTGCCTTAGCCATTGATAACGAAAAAAAAAAAAGTTTTGGAATTTCCTTTTATAGGGTGACAACTGTGTCACTGTCCACATCACTCAAGTGTGCTCCAATGGAGACATGAGCTTCCAATGGAGACAAAAACTGGCCCTTGCAACACACATTAAACAGGCATGCTTCATTGTTGTTGCTGGCAGGAAATGCAGTGCAGCTTTTGAGCAGTACATGCAGGCCGGAAGTGTCTGCAAACAGGCTCCAGAGGATCAGGAGCAGTAAGAAAAGACGAAAAAAAAGAGCAAAAATGATTTAATTTTTAAAAAATGGCAATTGGTTATGATGCACACTACTTTAGCAAACTTAACCACTTGCCTATCGGGCACTTATACCCCCTTATTTACCATGCCAGTTTTCAGCTTTCAGCGCTGCCGCACTTTGATTGACAATTGCGCGGTCATGCAACATTGTACCCATATGAAATTTTGATCATTTTTTTCTCACAAATAGAGCTTTCTTTTGGTGGTATTTAATCGCCACTGGGCGCTTTACTTTTTGCGCTATAAATTAAAAATTGCAAAAAATTTGAAAAAAAAAAAAAAAGTTTCTTTGTTTCTATTATAAAATTTTTCAAACAGGTATTTTTTCTCCTTCACTGATGTGCGTTGATGAGGCAGCACTGATGCGCACTGATAGGCGGCACTGATGGGCACTGATAGGCAGCACTAAAGGGCACTGATAGGCAGTACTAATGAGGTGGCACGGATAGGCGGCACTGATAGACAGCACTAATGAGGTGTCACGGATAGGCGGCACTAATATGCAGCACTGATAGGCGGCACTGATAGGCGACACTGATGATGGGTACTGATAGACGGCACTGACTGGCATCACTGCTGGGCACTGACTGGCGGCACTGACTGGCAGCACTGCTGGGCTGCACTGGTGGGTGGCACTGGTGGGCAGCACTGGTGGGTGGGCACAGGTGGGTGGCACTGGTGGGCACAGGTGGGTGGGCACAGGTAGGTGGCACTTCTGGGCACAGGTGTGTGACACTGCAGAGTGGCACAAGTGGGTGCACTGCTGGGCACAGGTGGGTGCACTGCTGGGCACAGGTGGGCGGAGCTAGTGGGCGCACTGCTGGGCACAGGTGGGCGGAACTTGCGGGTGGCATTGCTGGGCACCGATCATCAGGGCACTGATCATCAGTGCCCTGATGATCGGTGCCGATCCCCGCTCTGACAACTGCCGGTTCTCGGCAGTACTTTCCTCACGATCTGACTGCGTGAGGAAAGTGCAGCCAAGAACCGGCACTTGCATTTCCCTGTGATCAGCGTGTCATTGGACACCGCTGATCACGTGGTAAAAGGCCGGTATTATTGGCCTTTTACCACATCACGTGATCAGCTGTGTCCGTAGAACACAGCGATCACGGAGATCGCCGGGTGCGCGCCCCCTGGGGCGCGCAGGAGAGCGCGTTCTGGGAGGACGTCATATGATGTCCACTCAGAACTGGCCGGCCGCAGTTTAGCCGTAATTCGGCTATCTGCAGTCGGCAACTAGTTAAGCTGGGTACACACTGAACAGATTCCTGTATCCACACAAGCAAAGCGGAAGCAGAAATCCTCCCTGCTCCACTATTGTATTCTGACAACAAAGACTTCTCTTCTGTCACAATACACTGATCAGCAGCTACAAATCGGTTAGAAGAAGGTTTTTGCAGCAGGACTATTCAACAGAAGCTGATCTAACAATTAGCTTCTGACAAACAGGACCATACATATATCGAAATTCAGCCGACTCTTGTTGAACCGGCCAAATTTCAAACTGTCTGTACCTGGCTTAAATCTCATTCAGTTTACATCTACTGTTACTTTTTTTAAATTATTTTAATCTACAGCTGTTGTAATTTTCTAAATCACTAAAAAAAAAAAAATTCAAAGGTTGCTTGTAGGTGTTTTGTACAGAGATGTTGTACAGAATTCTTCCAGAAAAGTATTTTTCTGCTGATGATTTGCTCATTGCTTTTACATGAAATCTGCATTTCGATTACAATATAAATTTTAGGAATTCAAGGTAACAGGTGTTTCATTTTTGCTTAGATAATCTTTAAAGTTCATCGGCATCTAGGTTCAAACTTGTACGTCTTAATTTCTGCGCTTTTGTTGTTCCTTTTTCTTTTATGAGATTCAGATGCATTTTTCATGTGCTCCCACTGAAGTCTCTGGTCGGTCCAAAAACGTACAGTCAAAAGAAAAGCAGCCTCAACAAGTCAACAGAAGCGTGATGCAAAGGTGTGAACTTGTTCCACAGACAATAATAGGATTCCTCTGGTCATGCATTGTCAAAGACAGAAATGTGACAAATTATGCATGTATGAATAGGGAACCGGGGCGGACTGACAACTCATGGGGCCCCCGGGCAATAGGGGATCATGGGGCCCCTGTGTCCTTGTCCACACTCAAAACACACCCAAAAAAGCCTATAAAAGGTACCAGAGGCATTTCATGGGGCCCCCTACTGACCCCGGGCCCTCGGGCAGTGCCCGAGTGTTCGAATGGTCAGTCCGCCCCCGATAGGGAATAAGGCATTGTTCACACCTTTGCAGTATAGTGTGTGTCAAAATTTAAAATATCTGATGTGTGATAGGAACACGTGTTACCAGATGAGATAGCTCACATCTATGAAGTGCCAGATTTAAAAGGGGGCAAAAGAGGCAACTGCCCTGAGACCCTTGACAGTAGGGGCCCCCTGCTATACAAAAATTATATAAAACAATATAAAAATGATATAAAATAACCCTCTGTACAAAAAAATAACATAAAACAATATAAAAATGATATAAAAAAATAAATAATAATTAAAAAAATAGAAAATATATAATCGTAAAAAAATTACTCTTTTTCATTAAATGTATCTTGGCAAGTAATATTTTGCTTGCCACCATCTGTAAAAGTTTTTACTCTGGAAGTGCCGAATTTATAAGGGAGCAAAAGAGGCAACTGCCCTGAGGCCCTTGACAGAAGGGGCCCCCTGCTATACAAATTTAGTATAAAACAATATAAAAATGATATAAAATAACCCTCTGTACAAAAATAACATAAAACAATATAAAAATTATATAAAACAATAAATAATAATTAAAAAAATAGAAAAATATACAATGGTAAAAAATTACTCTTTCATTAAATGTATCTTGGCAAGTAATATTTTGCCTGCCACCATCTGTAAAAGTTTTTACTCTGGACCAGTATATTTTATAATTTTTAAAAATGAATTGTGGCAGCTCAAGCAAACCACACATAGAGCGCTTACACTCAAAAGCTAGGTTCACGTCTGTGTGGGTGGTGCCGCTGCGGATCCGCACAAAAATCTGTGCAGCCGCACCACCCGCACTGAGGAATGCGGACCCGCGGACGGGTGCCATTAGTTCTAATGGCACGCCAACCGCATTGGAAAACGCAACCATACTGGGAACCGAGATTCTCATGCGGGCTGCGTTTTCAGAAGAAGTGCAGGGACTTCTTCTCTGCGTGTCACAGGACACGGGAGTCCATTCAAATGAATGGGCTCTCATGCCCGCGCAAAACGCAGCCTGCACAGCTGCATATATGTGAACCAGGACTTAAAGTGGTTGTAAAAGCTGAAGGCAGGGGCTAGCTGACCATTTGGAAACTCGGGCACTGCCCGAGGGCCCGGGGTCAATAGGGGGCCCCATGAGATGCCCCTGCTACATTTTTCATAGGCTTTTTTGAGCTTGGGCAAGGACACAGGGGCCCGAGGGCCCAATGAGTTGTCAGTCCGCCCCTGGCTGAAGGTTTTTTTACCTTCATGCATTCTATGCATGAAAATAAAAAAAACCTTCTGTGTGCTTCTCCCCCCCACAGCCCCCCCAATACTCGCTCACCTGAGCCCCCTTCTCAATCCAGCAATGTGCACTAGAGCCCCTACTGTCCCAGGTCTCTCTCCTCATTGGCTGAGACACAGCAGCAGAAGACATTGGCTTCCACTGCTGTCAACCACAGCTAGTGAGGCTATGAGCAGAGAGCATGGGGGTTCCATGACGTGGCTTTATGTATCTTATGGGCGCATAAAGCAGGACTTGGGAGCGAGCACGCACCAGTGCGCCCATAGCAAGCAGCTTGCTATTGGTGGCACACTGTTCAGCGCTGACAGGGGACCCAAGAAGAAGAGGATTGGGGTTGCTCTGTGCAAAATCTTTGCACACAGTAGGTAAATATAATATGTTATTTAAAAAAAAAAAAAACACAAAAAACCCCCAAAAAAAACAAAGCTTTAGTATTACTAAGGTAGCCTATGACTGCAATGTGTGCCTGCCATTGAGAATGTAAACCAACTCTGTGCATACGGGGTCCCCTGAACCTGAAGTGCCTTGGGCCCTCAAGATCTATATGTGGCGCTCTATCTATGCACTGTGCTTTGAAAAATGGGGCATGTGCCTTTTCATGCCCTGCGAGGCCCACAAAAGTAACACATGAAAACACATGTATACTGCATTTAATGCATTGCCAGCCTGCGGAAGCAGACTCTTCCAAAATCCACAAGAATGATCCCCATTGGCCAGACCAAAAACACATGATGCATGAAAATGTGTATTAATGCAACAAAGATGCACTGCATGGCACCACAATGCATAAAGCAAACGTGTCAACATGCTAGAACAGATGTTAAAAAAATGCACTAAACAACCGGACAAAGGCGGATAGATGTGAACTTGCCCCAAGAAGGCAGACACAGCAGCTTTTCTCATTACAATTCTGAGACTGATCAGCTTATTATTATCTTTCCATTTAGGGTTTGAAAATCCTTGCAATGCGATTTTTTTTTAAGTCACAATATAAGTAGCTTATGTTCCTATTGAATCCCCCGTAGTTTTTACTCCTCTCTCCTCGCTGTGTGGTTTGACTCTCTCCCACCTCTCTTGTTTTTTCTTCCCTCATGCACCCTCTCCATCCTCTCTCCATCTGCCTCTCCCACATCGCTCTCCATCTCTTCTGCAGGCCTGTTCCTCTCTAGCTAGCAGATGGCACATGCACACCCATCCTTCATATCGGAGAAGGTTATGCCAGGAAATGGGAACATTTCTGGCAGAATAATTATAATAATTTTTTTTTTCCTCTGCCAGGGGTTAGGGCAGGAAGGCATGCGATGAGTAGTTGTATAAAGGTGAACACAGATGTAATGCTTTTGGGATGCTATGGAAGACAATTTTGGCACAGTGCACACTGGAGGGATGGTCTGAAGGTGCGGAAGAATGGAGGGGACTGGATAAATATATTGTGGGGGTAGAAAACTATTGAAGAAGTGTTGATGGAACATTGGTAACAACTTACAGATGACTGGGAGACGATTACCGTCTGTGAAATACTGATAGTGTGGAGGCCACAGAGGAGACAGGTCCGGTATCTGAACGTTGTGCTTGGTGTAGGAGGCCATAACTGTCATCCAGAGGCAGGACATGGAGAGGAAAAGAGTGGGGCTATCAACAGAGAATCAGGTGAGATAACAAATGTGAAAGTTCTGGTAAAAAGTGGAAGGAAGGCAACAGATGTTGGGGAGAGACAGGAGGAAAGAGAAAGAAAAGAGGAGAAGGAGAAAGGACTAAATTCACTAAGCTATAATACATGTCTTGACTATTTTTGGTTATTTTGTTATCTTCTGGACTTATTTGCAATTACAACTGAAACAACGATCATTCCGGCAAACAACAATCATATAACTTTGTGAATTTCTAATCTGAAAGCGACAGAGAGGGAGAGACTGAGTGTTAGAGAAAGAGAGAGAAGGAAAGAGACTGAATAAAGCAGGGATGGAGAGGAAGAGAGAAAGACTGAATGGGGGGAAGGGGGACTAAAAAGAAGAGAGAAGGAAAAAAGAGAGAGAGAGAGAGAGAGAGAAAGAGAGAGAGAGAGACTGAATGAGGGAGAGACTGAATGGAATAGAGAAGGAAAGAGACTGAATGAGGGAGAGGGAGAGAATGACTGAATGAGGGAGGGAGAGAGAAAGAGAGAGAAGCTGAATGGAGAGAGACTGAATGGAAGAGGGAAGGAAAGAGACAGTGAGAGAGAGACTGAATGAGGGAGGAGGAGAGAGGGAGACTGAATGAGGGAGAGAGAGACAAGGGGGGGAGGAAAGAGACAGCAAAAGAGAGACTGAATTAGGGAGGGAAGGAGAGAGACTGAATGGAAAGAGGGAAGGACAGGGACAGCGAGAGAGAGACTGAATGGAAGAAGGAAGGATAGAGAAAGAGAGACTAAATATGGAACGGAGAGAGGGAGAGAGACTGACCTGAAGAGGGAAGGAAAAAATCAGCGAGAGAGGGACTGAATGAGGGAGGGAGAGAGAGAGAAAATCTGAATGAGGGAGAGAGACTGAATGGAAGAGGGAAGGAAAGAGACAGTGAGAGAGAGACTGAATGAGGGAGGGGAAAAAGAGAGAGAGAGACTGAATGAGGAAGAGAGACAAGGGGGGGGGAGGAAAGAGACAGCAAAAGAGCAACTGAATGAGAGAGGGAAAGAGAGAGAGAGACTGAATGGAAGAGGAAGGACAGGACAGTGAGAGACAGACTGTATGGAAGAAGGAAGGATAGAGAAAGAAAAACTCAATATGGGAAGGAGAGAGGGACTGAATTGAAGAGAGAAGGAAAGAGGCAGTGAGGGAGAGACTGAATGAGTGGGAAGGAAAGAGGGAGAGACTGAATGGAAGAGAGAAGTAGAGAGAGGCTGTATGGAAGTGGGAAGAAAAGGGACAGCAAGAGAGAGACCAAATGAGAGAGGGAAGAAAAGAGGGAGAGACTGAATGGAAGAGGGACGGAAATAGGGAGAGACTGAATGGAAGAGGGAAGGAGAGAAAGACAATGTAAGAGATAGATAGAGAGAGAGGTAGTGAGACAGACTGAAAGAGGGAGGGAAGGAGAAGGGAGGGAGAGAATAAGTCAGGAAATAGTAGCTAAACTGCTGGAGGAAGCGGGAGGAAAGAGAGAATGAATGAAAGAGAGAAAGAGATAAAGAAGGACCGAGAGGGAGGAAAGGGAGAGATAGAGACCAAACAGGGGAGAGTGAGAAATGGGTAAAGAGAAAAGGAAGATAAGAGATGGAGAGAAAGACTGAACGAGGAAGGGAAGAATAGGAGAGGGAGAAAGCAAGAAAGAATGAGATAGAGAGAAGAAAAATAAGAAGCGGAAATGGGGCAAAGAGGAGAGGGTGATAAAAGGAAGAGAGGAGGGGAGAGGCAAAAGCGTGCGTGTATGTGGGGGGGAGAGCAGAAGGAGAAAGGTGGGAAAATCAATATGGATGCTAGTATACAGAAACAGATAAATCATTTAATTATCATGTCATGTTATAAACCACACTAGAAAAACTACATTTGGAATATTCAGTTGCCCCTTTCACATGGGCGGTTAGATTTCAGCTTTTAGCTGCGGTTAGAGGAACTTATTTACCGCATCTAAATGCAGACAATGCATCCCTATGGCTCCATTCACACACTGCGTTTAGCAACGTTTTCATAACATACTGTTTTATGCGTTTAAGAAAAATAAAGTTGACAGAGTCCAGGAGCGATGTACCGTCTTTGTCTGTGCATAAACGCAATTAATTGCAGTACAAAGAGAAATTAAGTAAACAGTTGCTATAGAAAATGCAAGAATTTACTGCAGCTAAATGCAGCCGCACGTAAACGCATGTAATCGCGCGTAAATGCAGATAAATGCAATGTGCAAACGCAAGTGATCTCTGTGCCAGGAATGTTGGAATTTCAAAATTAAAAAATATGCATTTACAAGCGGCAGAACAACCACCCGTGCAGGGGCGGACTGACCATTTGGAAACTCGGGCACTGCCCAAGGGCCCGGGGCCAGTAGGGGACCCCATGAGATGCCCCTGGTACCTTTTTCATAGGCTTTTTTGAGTTTGGGCACGGACACAGGGGCCCCATGATCCCCTATTGCCCGAGGGCCCCATGAGTTGTCAGTCCGCCCCTGCACCCGTGTGAATGAGGCCTTATTTACCCTAACTCCTCCACATGAGCCCCTAACATGCAATGCATTTCAACACACATACAGAATCATTACATATGCAAAACTGCATGCACCATCTTTTACATTTGTATCTGTTTCCTTTAATTCAGTAGAATAGATATCATGATATAATAGTTTCACAAATCTCAATAATCTCCCAGTTATCATGCTGCATAGGACTATAGGCTAAACAAGCCTGAGAACGGATATTGGATCACCGACACACTCGCCATCATTTACTATCCGTAAAATAAACACATAGTTCCCAACTTGTCCCGATTCCTATGGAATGGCTGTGAAGGTTTATCCTTGGGAAATGTATTCTCTGGCTTTTCATATTTCAGAAGCATTTACAAAGGAGTTGCAATGCAGCTGCAAATTTAAAATTTAAATACATTTTTGCAGGTTAATAATTAAAATATAAAAGTTCTTGCACATGTTTCCTGTAGATCGTGCATTCTAAAACGGTACTGAAATTGTACTACGGGTGGGGTGACATGAGCTTGTACAGTTCAGTTCTACATAATGTATTCTATAATAGCTAGTGACCCTGTACAACCTTTGCATGTGTGTTATGGGGGTCTTAATTTACTGACAATTACATTGTACAATTTATACATGGTGTGTGATCGCACTGCATTCATATATATTCAGATTAAACCTAAAAAATGCTTTGCAGTTACAAAAATCAACTCTGCATGGCCAGCTTGGGAGGTTATCTAGCTAGTTGGGGTTCTCCATCTGAAAAGCACCCAGGAATATTCTTAAATATTGGAAACTAGATATATATATAGGATATATAGGATATATAGATAGGTATATAGGATGACCCCACAGCAGATCTTCAGTATAGTAACCTCACCCTGCACACTTCCAGCATGTTATAGGCAGGCTGGGAGTAGACTTTCAGAAGCTCTTAGATTTAGGTTGGAATCAGATGGTAGCTTTCTGTGCCATGGCTGTCCAAAAAGAACTGACAAGCGATGAAATTTTCAACAGTCCTTTACCGGAGTGAGATCCATGGTCCTGCCACGAGGAATAAATTTCATATTTTTAGTTAGGCGTGGGAGGTGTTCAGACAGCACGCAGAGGTCAGGCAGAAGTCCAACAAGTGTCAGGAGGTGGAGTTGAGACTCCGGTAAAGTCATAATTACAGGATTAAAAAAATGATCTTGCACTTTTTTAGGGTAAGCAGTCAGAGGACATGGGGGGACACTGACTGTGTGCATAGAAAATAAAAAATGAAAGGCAGGCAGTGGCCATTTACATCCTACAAGGGGTTTCTCTCTTTAGACTGGAGTACAATAAATGTATCTGCTGGCGCCAATTTCACACCCTTTTTTCTGCCGCAGACTTGCACTCTACTGTTAACCCTTCTACTACCACAAATAAGCAGCTCAACAAACTCTCCTCCTGCGTTGGCTCATTAAAATCCCTTTTTTTTCCATTCTACATCTGCCATGGTCTTGGACAGCCGGCTTAACTCTTCCTTCCCTGCTCTCTTCCTCTGCCCCATAGATGCCCAATCTGTCATCAGCTCTGCATGTCACTTTGCCCTGGTTAGCAGTGTCATTTAACCCCATACTAGATCTCAGTGCAAAATGCCTTCTTTTTGTCTCCGCCATGTGTGCTTTAACCCCTTCCCTGCCTAAGACCTTCTTTTAAATTCTCCTGAAGCAAGAGTTTTGTTAATAAGGGGAGGTTTGTGCTCACTTACCAGCCCGGCAGCCTCCAGCCCATGGGACACGGTGCAAGATGAGAGCAAGGAGAAGAGATCTTCTTGTCAGAACCTATGAGGCTGTAATCCATCTGGGAAGTGTGAGTGAGGAGGGGGAGGAGGGCTGGGTGCCATGTGTGATAGCGGAGAGTGGGGAGCGATGGAGAAAAAGCAGTGGGGGTCTCTAGTGCCCTGTATGAGAAATGCCAGCAGGGTGGGAGGGAAGGAGGAGAAACATATTCTGCCTCTCACTATATTTCCACGCTTGCTCATCCCACACTTGACACCCCATCAGTGACATTCACCTTCCACCGCACGCTTCTCACCTGTCCTTTTCCCACCATTGTCCTCCCTCTCATCAGGACCACTTATCTCCCCATCTGCTGTGTCTTCTCATTGCTCGCTTCCACTTTTTGATATTCGGAAGTGATGACATTTACCAGCCATCACTTGTGACAGTTGGGCAGTGCAGGGGTTAACACAGCATCATCAATATTTAAAGCCTTTTAAAACACAGTAATATCAACATCATGTGCTTTTTGTACATTTGGAAAAAAAAAAGGATTTGAATTCTTAGTGTTATTTTATTGTATGTTTTGCATCATAATTGCAAAAATAAAATCATGATAAAATAATATTTTATTCAACATATTCATTCATTTATTCATATTATAAAGTTTTGTGTTACAGGTGGCTTGGCCTACCTAGGACCGGGACAGCGTTTTTAACGTCCTAGTGATCTTTTTCCCAGTGCCATATAGGTTGGAAGACAACTGAAGAGAATAATGGTGATCCTTTGCTTGGGGCATCCTCGGGGGGGGGACTGACCATTTGAGCACTCGGGCACTGCCCGAGGGCCCGGGGTCAGTAGGGGGCCCCATAAAATGCCCCTGGTACCTTTTAAATGCTTTTTTGGGTGTGTTTTAAGTGTGGGCAAGGACACAGGGGCCCCATGAGCCCCAATTGCCCGGGGGCCCCATGAGTTGTCAGTCTGCCCCTGGGCACCCTACACGTTGTGCCTGCTGGTCTGATAAAAGCACCAACGATGGTGGAGCATCAACATGCTGTTGTGGCCCAGGACAGCATTAAGGTTTACCTAACCTTTAAAGTAGAACTCCACACAAGAGGGTTTTTTTTCTAATTTTGGATACCATATGGAAAGGTCAGAAATCTCCGCTATGGAGATTTCCTTTCACTTCCTGTCTTGTTGACCAGCCTCACTGCAGGAGTTGAGAAAGATCCTTCTATACTGGGACACCTCCTGAAAATAAAACAGAGGTTTCAACTCTTTCACACTCCATCCAAAAAGTAAAATAAAAATGTTGGTTGGGGTTCCAATGTAAACATGAAAATTATGGCACAATCTTGTGACATGTAATACAAGTTATCAGTGCTTTGTTGGAACTGCTCAAAAATGCACCTTTGTGAACATTTAGCAATCTTTTCTTTTTCTCATAGTTACATAGTTAGTCTGGCTGATAAAAGACAAAATTCCATCCAGTTCAACCATTAAAAAAAAAAATTATAATCGTATATACCCACAGTTGATAAAGAGGAAGGCAAAAAACCCAGCAAAGCATGATCCAATTTGCTCCTGCAGGGAAAAAACTTCCTTCTTGATCCCCCATCCATAGATAACCATATGAGACCACAAATAAGCATCAGGTGACCTAACAGAGAGCTTATACTCAGGGGCTAGTGGGTCTATTGTCTGTGATGACAACACATCTGATTTTCATGCCTTGCTTTTGAATAGATATCCTATTGTATATCCTATTATAGCAATACCCCGTAAGAGTTGCTAAATTTTGGGTCCCCCCATAGTCTTGCACAGCCAGGCAACACGCATTTTCCCACACAGACTTGTATCCAGGAGACAGTGACCAGTCCTTCAGCTTGTTTTTTGTTTAAATTAGACCTTGGATGGGGTAAGGGCTGTATAGGATGCCCAAGGGAACAGCAACTGAGGACAATCTTCCTGGAACTACGTACAAGACTCTTTAGCCTCCCTGGCGGTATGATTATTTCAGATTTTTGGTGCTGAAAGCGGTACCATTATTTTGCATGGAAATATGTAGTTTTTTTTAATGTAGGCTGTAATTTTTAGGAATAACTCACTGAAATCTGTCCGAACAAGAGTCTAGTAAACATCCCGGTTAGGATAAAATTTGAAACACGAAATCATAAATTATAATTTAATAAATAATCATAAAAAATAATAATATAATAATAATAAATTTAATTCAATAATATAATCAAACCAAAAACACTGAAATTTGAAATATAGCGCCAAGTTCGCACATTGCTGAGCAAAGTCGCAGAATCGTTTTCAGTGTCTGATGATGAATTTCCCCACAAATCATTATCACTCAATTCTGCAAGTAGTTCTGATTTATTATCGCTGTTCTCTAGCTGGTCTAAAACCGCTTTTGACCTAAAGGGACACTTTTTGGACGCCATGGACATTTCTAAGTTTCCAGGCAGAAAGAATAGTCAAAATGCAGGCAGGGAACAGGACAAAGCAATAGGGACAAAATATATGTGAAATGGTTTGAAACTGCAATGTTTTACTATGTAATATTCGTTTACAAAAAATTTAATTAATTTTTAAAAATTTTTAAATTTGCCGCCGGTTACGGCCCGACGTCACAGGGGACGGAACACGGAAGCCGGATGCCAGCATCGGCCGGAGGAGGTGGACGGGGACGCTGCAGGGGAGTGAAGGACAAGGTAAGCGCTGCAGGGACTCCCTGAGCAATGCCGCATGGTAAGCCCGAGTGTAGCTCGGGGTTACCGCTCTTGGTACTGAAATTTTACCCCGAGCTACACTCAGGAATACCGCCAGGGAGGTTAACAGCAAACTTCACTTCTTGGAGAGCTACCCAGCATCTCCTGTGTACCACCCCAGACCACAGATACTCCTCTATCCTGCTAATTGAAGGTATTAATGGACAGGGGATCTAATACCTGTCGCTTTAAATGCAAGACAGTCCCGGGTAGCAAGCTAATCCAGTTTCCCACCAGATTGCTCCTTCCCCTTACTGGCCCAGGGGGTGTAGGTCTACTCACTCAGTCCTCTGTCTGTGAGTTGATGGGTCAGTGGCTGATTTCAGACCTTCTGGGCCACTCCTACCGTGCTGCACAGATTGTCCTAGCTCTTGGGGCCGATGAGGTCCTGAGCTTTCCTCCTCTCCAGCTCCTCTGCCTGTAGATGAGCCCCTTCCCAACTGGGCCCCCTCCCATGCTCCTGCTCTCCAGCCTCTCACTTCATCTTCCAACCAAACTCTCCTGCTGCTGAGCAGGCTTTTCCATAGTTAAGGGCTACACTGGCCCCATGCAAAGTCTCCTGCTTGGGGATTGATCAGTATGCAGGCCAGCCCCTCCTCACCCCAGCCACAGCTTCTAGAATCTTCTCCAAGATCTATAGAGTGAGCAGGGGGAAGTGTTAAGGAACTGAACTGCAGAGTCTCCCAGCCGTATGGTCACGATCCTTCCCCAGCCTGGACTGGCTTTGTGTCAACAGCTGACAGCGGGTTTCAGCCTGGTGTCAGCTGAAAACGGGTCACAGGAGTGCAGAACGAACTGCGCTCCTGTAATCCATAGGAGAAGTACATCCAAAAGAGCATTGGCTGTACTTCTCCTTTACATTAATTATTATAATTTGTCATATTCCTTAAGTTAGAATGATTAGTTTTCAGAAATATTTATGTATATTCGGATTCCTTTCGTATATTCGTTATTTTCAAATTGATTCGAAGTTTGAAATTTGAATTTCGGAATTCAAAATGTGAATCTCTGAAGTTCTATTTTATTCTATAACATTTTTTTCTATTCTATTGTATTCTTTTCTACTTTTTTCTATTCTACTCTAATCTGTTTTATTGTGTTCTATTCTATTTTATTCAATTTTATTCTATCCCATTATGTTCTATTTATATTCTATTGTCTTCTCTTCTCTTCTTTTCTATTGTTTTAAATTCTATTCTACTCTGTTCTAGTCTTTTTTGTTCTGTAAAGCAGCCTAAGTAGGAATCATCATCTTAATTAACTTTTATACCTTACTGCATTTATTGCAACATGTTTGAATTTGAACTCAACTTAATTTATTAATCCAAATTTATTTTAGAATTAAATTTCGATTTAGAATTTGGATAATTAGTTTTTTTATAGTTTATTTCGGATTCATTGAAATTCATTACAATCAATTTGGGAATTTGGATACATCCAAATAACAAAAGATTTCGTCCCAATTTCGCAATAAAATGAATAGTACATGTCTAAAAGGTTATAACCTCTGACAATTTTTTTTACATCTGTGCCCCATTGGAGTGAATTTTTTTCACTTCCTGCCCCATAGCCCCCCCCCCCCCCCCGCAACTCCCTCCTCACTGGCTGTGATTTACAGCAGCCAATGACTCCCACTCCTTTCCTGTGTCTCAACCAATGAGGAGGGACTTGGGAGAGCCAAGGCTCTCGTGCACAGCGCCAGATTGAGATCAGGCTCAGGTAAGTATTAGGGGGGCGGAGGAGGGAGCTGCACATTGAAGGTTTTTTACCTTCATACATAGAATGCATGAAGGTAAAAAACCTTCAGCCTTTAGAACCAATTTAACTTCCTATCTGGGTAAGACATGATCAGAAATCTTTCCAATGGGGACACAGACAAGAAAAAATATTTTTAATAGAGTGGGGAAAGTTTAAATCCTTTGTCCCGGTGAAAACCTTTCTTGTATGAGTATCACGGAGATGGGAAGTGAGGGAAAATCCTTTTAGTTGGGTCACATAAGAAAATAAAAAAACCCAATAGTAATTGTAACTCTTCTCCCTTTTATCCAAACTAAAAAAAAAAAATTGTGTACAATTAGGCTTGGACTTTTAGAACTTTCCAATAATTCTTTAAAAAAATTGCATCTTCCCGTTCTGCCACTTTTTTTGTATACCAATTACATAGATTAATTTTCTGTGTTCCTTATTGTCCCTCTCCTTCCTTTGTCTGAATTAGAAGTTGACAAAAGGGAATTTAGAAAAAGTGCAACCTGGCAGAGTGTAAATTAGCAGAAGCAGAGTAAAGCAAATTTCCTACCGAGGTATTTCTCCTGGGAAAACGACAGTTCGAGGGACGTACTCGCGGTCAATGCACACACATCTGCAAGGACACAATAGGGGTCATCTTCAAATAGAGAGAATGTAGAGAAGAACTGAAAACGTCGAGTCTCATCTCTTTGTCACTAACTGCCTCTTCTATATTTTATAATATTGTAGGCGGAATAAATAAACACTCCTCATATGTGTCAGAAACTAGATGTGCATTTATTGAAACAGCATTGTATCAAGAGTAATGTTTTAGAACGATTTCATCTTCTCTAGGTCTGACTGCTCCAAACTGAGGTCAAATATTGGAATAGTGCACATCATTGTACTGTCAGTTCAGGTTTAAAACTGCGGCAGGGATGTTCTGCATATCTGCAAAAATGGGATATTTCCCATGTGTGTGCAAAGACAGGGAAAGGTTTTGTGCTACTGTCTTTGCGCATGCGCAGAGAAACCACGCTCCAGCACAGATGTGCAAGGAAACCCATGCATGCGCAGTTGGGCCATAGGAATGCCGTAACCCAAAACCCTCTTGCACATCTGTGCACGCACAGAATCTTGGAAGGGGCGGAGAGGTCCTAGATGTCGTTTTCACCTAGGCAAGAGATGTGGAAGTGCTGCTTTACAGTACAATAGATGTGTAAAAAAAAATATATATATAATTTAAAGAGAGGAGGGGAGAGGAAGCAGGGAATGAGGACATTAAGTTTAGTATGAAGGTCTGCTTTATGTTGCTCTCCAGAGGATTTACCCCCCCCCCCTTCCCGATCAGGCCATTTTTTGCATTGTGGCATTGCGTTAGCCCTGGTTCACATCTGTGCGGGTGGTGCCGCTGCAGATCCACGCGAAAATCCGTGCAGCCGCACCACCCACACAGAGGAGTGCAGACCCGCAGGCGGGTTCCATTAGTTTAATGGCACACCGCCCACACTGGAAAACGAAACCGTACTGGGAACCGAGGTTGCCGTGTAGGCTGCATTTTCAGAAGTGCAGGGACTTCTTCCCTGCGTTTCACGGGGCACGGGAGTCCATTTGAATGAATGGGCTCTCGTGCCCGTGCAAAATGCGGTCCCGCGCGGTCGCAAATACGTGAACCGGGGGTTACTTTAACTGACAATTGCACAGTCATGCAACGCTGCACCCAAATTAAATTTACGTCCTTTTTTTCCCACAAATAGAGCTTTTTTTCAGTGGTATTTTATCGCCTGTGCGGTTTTAATTTTTTGTGCTATAAACAAAAAAAGACCACAATTTTTAAAAATCAAATTTCATCAAAAATTTAGGCCAAAATGTATTCTGCTACATGTCTTTGCTTAAAAAATAATCCCAATACGTGTAAATCAATTGGGTTACGTGAAAATTATAAACATAAAAATTGCTGCGCTGCCTCTACCAAAAAATACTTTAAATAAATAAATGAACTTCCTACTACATAAAGGATCATTACAAATGTGCATATACTACAATGCCCTGTGGACTGACTATCATATCCCTCCTCCTCAGTGACTAAATTATAAATAAACCAATATGTAAATTCAATGTGCTTAAACGACAATAGTGCTAAAAATAGCACATATACAATGCCATCAAACTGTGTATACAATGAAATTGTATAAAAACTATATATATATATATTAAAGTCCCAATAGTTGTGCAAACATAAAGTTCCAAAAAAATTCCAAAGAAACCTCCATCCGCATCCAATGTGAATACTAAGCGATACAGTAGTAAATCTTTTTATCAATAGCAATTCTCTGTGTGAAGTGCTCCAATTAGTGCTCCCCTCCAGAGCCCCACTCATCACAGATAATTGACCACCTAGAATGGTAGGTCAAATATCGCATAAGATGATGATGAGCGCTCTCCTGCAGGAAAGTTGGCCGTCTGTGTGGTCTTGATACCTCTATACACTGATGACAGACTCCATAGTGGAAACACCTCTAGACCAATCGCTTGCGATAAAACTCCTCCAGAACCTCCACACTACTCCTCAACAACGTAAAAACATCAAAATGAAACTTCCATAGCGTAACACCATATTTATTAGGTAAAAAAACACTTACATAAAAAACATGTGTATGACACTTTAAATTCCAGCACAAAGCAATTGCTTCTCAGAGGACAAGTGTAAGGCTATCAAGCCCCGCCCTACGCATTTCATCATATGACGTCATCAGGAGCGTGAAAATGATAGCGTTTACAAATGGCAGTGTATATACTGAAATTTTCTTTTTGTTACTAGTAATGGCGGTGATCAGCGACTTATAGCGGAACTGGAGGACTGCGGCGGGCATTCTGGCACTGGGGGGAACTGACTTGGTGTCAATGACATCCCCAGTAACACTAATACAGTGATCAGTGCTAATAAAAAGCACTGACACTGTACTAATGGCACTGGGCAGGAAGGGGTTAACATCTGGAGCGATCAAAGGGTTAACTGTGTGCTGTTTCACAGTATGGTGTGTGTGTGCTTTCCACTGTAAGCACATTGCTTTGTATGGCTCTGCTATGCAAAGCCATACAAAGCAGTGTGCAGGACCTGACAGGAGAGAGATCTGTACTGTTTACATACAATTCTCTCCCCCGTCAGTAATACTCGGTGATCACTGGTTGGCGGCGAGTAATCACTGGCTGGGACCCAGTGATTGACAGCCGAGGCCGCGAATGGCGCCTATGCCCCCTACCCGAAACTGCAAAATCACATATATATGGTGATTTTGCGCAACCCTGCCGCCCTGTAGCAGTATTTCTGCTGTAGGTCGGAGGGGAAGCAGTCAAAATAGAACTATAGGCAAACCTTTTTTTTAATTTATTTTGAATAGAGCAAGGGAAGGTTATAATCCCTGTAAGGTTTTTTTTTCACCATCTGTATCCCATCACGGGGATTTCCTTTCACTTCCTGTCTCATAGCCACACAGGAAGTGAGCGGTAATCCCAGCAAATTAAGGGAATTCCTTGGGGACCTCCAGGTCACCGGAACTACTGTCCCCATTGGAAGATTCTCCTTGTATTACTTTTCTGGGGACAATCCAAAATTTGGGATTTGCTTTACTTTCACTTTCGATGATAATAGGAAACAGGACAAATAGAGAGGATGAATCCCCTTAATAGGGGCACAGACAGCTATAAGATTTTGGCGATGTTGCGGAGGTGGAGTCTGCACGAGTTTGTTAAAGATTGGACTTGGGGCTGGAAGGATAGGTTGGAGTCCAGAATGACACCCAGTACTCTGGCCTGCAGGGTGGGTTTGATGGTAGCGTTGTTGGATGTGACGGAGAAGTCAATGGGGGGTGGGGTCCGGGCTGGGGGGAAGACAAGAAACTCGGTTTTGGAGAGGTTCAATTTAAGGAAGTGGAGCGACATCCAGTCTGATATGTCGCTCAGTAGGTGTGTGATTCGGGCTGAGACCAAGGGGGTGAGGTGGGGGGTTGAGAGATAGAACACACAAATCCTCCATCTCCTCCTGTGCCACCACCCCCTCCCTCCTAGATTGTAAACTCGAAAGAGCAGGGCCCTCGATCCCCTCATGTTTTGCATTGTATTGGTATTGTTCTGTCACATGTTCTGTCCCCCTTTGTAATGTACAGCGCTGAGCGAAGTATTGGCGCTTTATAAATACTGTATAATAATAATAAGAATAATAATCCCTCTCTACTCTCTCCAAAACTAGAGAAAAAAAGTTTTGCCTTTAGTAATAGTTTAATGAGATAAAGTGGACGGTCGCACACTCTATGAGGTTACCAAAACATTTATTGTGAAAGTCAAAAAATAAAAAACATCACATTGCAATATAAGCACAGAGGGATGGGTTGACGTGTTTCACCCTGAATATCGCTTACTCATTATAAGTACTATTCAGCATGAAACACATCAATCTATCCCTCTGTGCTTATGGTGCGGTGATGTTTTTTATTTTTTGACTTTCACAATAAAAGCTTTGGTATCATCCTCATAGAGTGTGCGACCATTCACTTTAAGTCATTCTGCTGTTTCGGAGGTGAGCAGGGCAAGGACCTCCATATTAGGATGGAAAAAGGGGTATTACATGAACAGACCTGAAGCTGTGCTTTTTCTTTCTTTGGACCTTATTTGCTTAGTTATGTAACGCCCTCTAGCTTAGCTAGATAAGTTTTGTGGTTTTATATTTCTAGGCAGAGGCTGAGTGGCAGCCTGGGATGAGTCAGCCTGTGAGTGAGGCAGGAGTTCAACGCAGGAGAGGCACGGGAGGTTCTAAGGTCAGAGCTTCTGGAGCACTCCCACCACTCCAGAAAGCTGAGAGCTTTGTGCAGGAGGGGAGGAAGCTCGGAGTTGTATGGTTAAGGGACGTTGGCAAATCCCCTGGCAGAAGGCCAGGCATGGTGACTGAGCCTGGGAGTAGTAGGAGCAGTGTCGGGTGGAATATGGAATGAGAGGTTGGAGTGTGGAGCCTGGGAGGAGTCCCAGGGAAAGGGACTACCTACAGGAAGGAGCTGTGAAGGAGCCAGGCCAGTGAAAGGCCTGAAGGCAGCCAGCAACCCATTTAGCTATCATGAAGGATAGTGTGAGTACTCTTACACCCTCTGGGCCGCATAAGGGGAGAGGGCAGTCAGGAGGAAAACTCAACTAGCTTCTCAGCAGGGGCTGCTGTGCTAAATTGGCAGTTTCTGGGCCCCCTTGCCCAGGGAATACCCTCAGGCAGCTGGGTGAAGAGGAGGATTCATCTGGGGTGTGAGGAGGACCAAAGAGATGGAATGCTCTTAGGGGAAAGGCTATTTTGTCCACGTCTGTACATAGTTGCTAAGGAGTTTGTCCTCAAGTTTGGTTCCCTTGGGCATCCCATACACCCGTCAACCCTATCCAAGTTATCAACCCTTTAATAATATCACAAAACCAAGCTCAAGGACTGTTTACTGACGAGTGCAAAGCGTGGAAGAAAATGTGTGTTGTGCAGCGCTTTGGGGGGACCCAAATATCAGTGACTTCTAAGGGGGAAGTACTGCAGTTACATTGGTCCAACATGGTATATTTCATACCTGAGGGAACAGTTGTTGAGGCTGACAATCACCGCTGTAGTAGATGATATGCCATTATATGCCATATGGGTGGCACAGTGGCTAAATGGTTAGCATTTTCACCTGGCAGTACTAGGGTCGCTAGTTCGAATCCCAACCACGGCACCACCTGCCTGGAGTTTGCATGTTCTCCCTGTGCTTGCGTGGGTTTCCTCCAGGTACTCTGGTTTCCTCCCACACTCCAAAGACATGCTGGTAGGTTAATTGGCTTCTGTCTAAATTGTCCCTAGTATGTGTATGTATGAATGTGAGTTAGGGACCTTAGATTGTAGACTTGAGGGTTGGGGACCTTATATTGTAGACTTGAGGGTTGGGGACCTTAGATTGTAGACTTGAGGGTTAGGGACCTTAGACTGTACACCCCTTGAGGGTTAGGGACTGATGTGAATGTACAATATATATGTAAAGCGCTGCGTAAATTGACAGCCCTATATAAGTACCTGAAATAAATAAATAAATATCCTGTGCCAACCAGCTTTCCCACTGCATACACACCACAGGGGGATCTCTCACATGGCACCACCATCATTCACAGAATGCCTTGAATTTTTTTATGAATACAAAGCTTTCTCAGATTGGACAGGATGGAATGTATGGGTGGTGACATCATGATCTCCACATCATCCAATCAGAGAACACCTTGTGTTAATTCAATATAAGCAATCTGTGATTGGCTAGGGTTCTGAGCAAGTACCTTCCTGTGGTCAGTATGCAGCAGAGCAGATTCTTGGCACAGGAGATGGCAACATAACAGGGATCACTGTAGTAGCACCTACCAGCAGTCCCTCAGGCATGAACTATACATAACCATGTTGTGCCAAACAGGACCATGTAACTATGCGATTAAGATCATACCTGTAGAGCAGCTTTAAGGTTTACTTGAAAGGAGATTTTTAGGTGCTCTCATATTTTATGAGCTTGTTCATATATATTTTTTACTATTTATTTGATATATAGATATGTAGATTCTCCTTCTACTGACTACATATGCCTCAGCCACTGAACTCCTATCAACTACTGAAATAAAATCAGTTATTTCAATGAATTTTATTGTTTTCAGTCTGAACAGAATGATAGACCTGCATTAACGGAGAGGAATAGTAAAGTACAATCACTGTACAGCGCTGATAAGCAGGAACCACAGGCTGCACAAGTATGAAAATATATGGATATATATACTGTAAATTTACAAAATGTGCAGAGAAATAAGATTTTGAAAGCACTAACAACATTATTTGTACTAAGCTTGTGACTAGGTGCAGGGTGGTGCTGGAAGTAATGACACAGAGTCCAGTTGCAGGAGCAAAAACTTGTTTTGAAGGAAAAAGGCTCAACTGAACAGACAATCCAGTGGGATAATACCATGCCAGGGAAACACTCACAGTTCAATGTAACTTGAGAACACAGTGGATTCAAATGCACCGACAGCATCTGTCTCAGAGGGAAGATTGTGTCCTGGCCGGTCCGGACTCAATGGGGAGGCTTCCTCAGAAGGATGGCCGTAACCTGTTCCTCCTCTCCAGGAACCTCTCCCTGCTGCTAGTCACTTTCACTGTGGTTTTTCGCTCACCTAGCCACTTCACAGAGTGCGCACCAAAACCTGGTAGCACAGTCTTAACAAGACTCTTCTGACCCAAGATGGCCATCAGGGGGTCACTTGGTTGTAGTGTAGCCAACTGGAACAGTGCCTTAAGGGACCAGGAAATCATAGAGAAGCCAAGCTTCTTTTGACTTCCTCTGAAACTCCAGTACTGCTCCGGTCGAGCAAGCTAACCTCATGCACTTTTTTAGTCAATAATTTGTATTGCAATAGAAAGAAAGAAATACAGTGTCTTTGGTATCACATCCAACATGATTGGATCACATGCACTTTTATATGTAGCACCCTCCTAGATAGCTAGGGGGAGCAATATTCCAAATTGTTAGTTAGAGGCTGAGCAGCAGCCTGTGTAATAGCCAGTGGGAGGTTAAATTCAAGTCAGAGCTCAGAGGCTCTGCAGACCAGCTCTCTGGGACTTCCCCCTGCTCAAGAGATTTGGAGAAAATTCTAGAAGCAGTGGGGGGAGTGAGGCATGGCTAGTCTGTACTCTTGAGGGATCCTGACCAATCCTCAACAGGAGGCTTGGCATGGGGTCAGTAGAGCCCTTAAGAGTGAAAGAGCCTGCTCAGCAGGAGAGTTCAGGTGAAAGATGGATAAGTGAGGATGGAGAGCAGGAGACTGGGAGGGAGCCCAGATGGGAAGGGGCTCACCTACAGGCAGGAGGAAAGGTTGGGACTTCACTGGCCCCCAGAGCGAGGACCACCTATGCAGCAGGGAAGGAGCAGCCATCAACCCAGCAGCTCATAGGAAAAGTGAGTAGACCTGCACCCCTGGCCTAGTAAGATGAAGGAACACTCTGGTGGGAAACTAGATTACATACTACCCGGGGCTGTCTTCTCCTAAAGTGACAGGCACTGGATCCCCTGCCCAGAGATTCACCCAGAACAGCTGGATAAGGAGGGGTCTGGAGTGGTACTACAGGAGATGCTGGCTAGCTCCCAAGAAGCAGGATCTATTTATATATTTTTTTGCTGCTAAAGAGACTAGTACATAGTTCAGGAAGACTGTCTTCTGTTGC